GAAAAAGAGAGAGACAGAGACAGAGACAGACAGATAAAAAGAGAGAGCGAGAAAGACAGACACATAGAGAGGGAAGCGAGAGAGAGTCACCTAGACAAAGATAAAGATACAGATGGTCAGAGTTAGAGAAGACAGGCGGCTTACTGAGTGATGAGTGATGGGCTCCTTTCTGATGTCGAGTTCTTCTTCACTGATTCCCATCCACTCGCTGACTTGTTCAGGGGCATCGTGAAGTTAACACCTGTCAACAAAAACAAGACTCAACGTTTTTATCGGCAAATCCTAATCCAAACACCTATACCCAACCCCAATGTCAACCATAACCCCCTAACCCTAACCCCAACCCCACCCCAACACCAACCCAACCAACCCCTAACCCCACCCCACCCCAACACCAACCCTAATCCCCTAACCCTAACTCTAACCCTAACCTCCTTTTCTCAGAGCCTCTCGAAACCCGCTCGTTGTCGGCGTGAGGACGGCTTCGTAGGTGGCGCCGCCGGTCGCTGCGGCCCTGAAGAGGGCGGTGAAGGTCGCTGCGCAGACGTAGAAGTAAGGGCAGTGCCTGGCACGCAGCAGCAGCATGAGCGATCTCAGACTCTCCTGCCTACAACAGACAGTGAGTAAGAACATATATGAGTGAGTATGAACGAGTATGAGTAAGTGAGCATTTCATATGGTAGCAGCATAGTATGCTAAACATACACAATAACAAGCTATAAAACAAATACATGTTAAACATACACAATAACAAGCTATACAACAAATACATGCTAAACATACACAATAACAAGCTATAAAACAAATACATGCTAAACATACACAATAACAAGCTATAGAACAAATACATGCTAAACATACACAATAACAAGCTATACAACAAATACATGCTAAACATACACAATAACAAGCTATAAAACAAATACATGCTAAACATACACAATAACAAGCTATAGAACAAATACATGCTAAACATACACAATAACAAGCTATAAAACAAATACATGGCAAACACACACAATAACAAGCTATACAACAAATACATGCTAAACATACACAATAACAAGCTATAAAACAAATACATGCTAAACATACACAATAACAAGCTATAAAACAAATACATGCTAAACATACACAATAACAA